TGGCCACGTCACCTGCTTCATTAGTGAGAGTAATAGTGCACGAGTGGTTGGGATATATGATCTTTCTGTTGATTATGTAAATAATCCCACTCCATTCACTCCTATGCCCTATCCTCCAATCCTCTCATGGGCAAAGCTGATCGCCAAACTGTCTCGTAGGGTTAGAGCAGAACAAAAGAAAGCGTTAGATGATCTTATGATGCAATCAACTGCGTCCACAGTGATTACGCGAACATATCAGTGCAGTGATCAACGTGACAGCGATAACAAAGTGGTTACCTAATGCGCACAAAATGAAAGCTCGCGCGCATGCGCAAAGCACCGGCAACGGCAGAATCCCGCGTCGTTGCCGGAAAAATACTCGGTTCATTATAGTGAATTCCTTGGAAACAGAATCACAGTAACTCTACAAGCGCGAGCCTCCTGCCCCCGGCTCTTGTCTCACGAGACAAGTGCGTCAAGTGGACGACGGTATCGGTGATTCCGCTGCAAAGGGTGCGCCAGGAATCACGGAGGCCACCAGTAGGTGTCCTAACCACAGCCGCCTGGATTGAGTAAGCGCGGCAGTGTTTCTCCGGCCGTTGCAATCGGCGCGCGCCCCTTGACAAAATGTAATGAGAAAAATTCCGCCGCGCGCCGCTACGCGGCACTCTTCTCCCACTCCCCTGTTGGGAACCTTGCCCCGCCGCGGTGGTCTAGTGGTTAAGGTACTCGGCTGCTGACCCGCATGTCGCGGGTTCGAATCCCGGCTGCGGCGGCTGCATTTCCGATGGAGGCGGAAATGTTGTAGGCCCGTGTGCTCAGATTTGGGTGCACGTTAAAGAACCCCAGGTGGTCGAAATTTCCGGAGCCCTCCACTACGGCGTCTCTCATAATCATATGGTGGTTTTGGGACGTTAAACCCCACATATCAATCAATCAATCTGTTGGGAACCTTCATGTGTGCGCTTTGTCGGAACAAAGGATTCTGGGCCATTGGCCGAGCCCATCCTCAGCTCAGAAGACTTTAAAAGCTATGCTGCGCTTTTTGCGGACAACTGGCCTCAGAACAGACTTTAGTGTCTTATACTATTTGATGTTGCCTTTCCTCTGTCGACTTTTTTGTTATTTCTCTCTCTCTCTTCGCAACATTTCTTTTTTACATCTTTTATTCCCCTCACCCCTTTTCCCAGCACAGGGTAGCCAGCCGGTCTAAGAACTGGCTAACCTCCCTGCCTTTTCGCTTAAACTTTCTTCCTCCTCTCCCTTCATGTGTGCGCGCCTCCGTGTTTTAAAGTGGTGACAACTTTGATCATGGTTGCTTACAATTGGCTAAATGAGCTGGCGTACTTGACGGGCCAACATGATGGTTCCAGCGTTTTCCCTCAATTCGGACAAGCAGGGAACTGCAGCATTCTCACACCCCATCTCCAGATGGTCGTCCATTGCGGAACGCAGCCCCCCTGCATTATCACTCCAATGCTCTTGTATAATATCAGTGCGAGGATGGTGTCACGATAGGCGCCAAAGTCAGTCCAAAGTCAAGGTACCAAAGTGAAGGTGTAAAAGTCGTTCACGTAGTTACTGGAATAAAGGAACTCTAATATGTAGTCTCAATGGGGCTTGACACAGTGAGTGTTGTCTTCTGTAGCATGCTATGATCGAGACAGAGCTAAGCAGCATGAGGTGACTTCGTGTGGCGCAGCGTGCTAGGATATTTTGCTTTCAGGACACAAGTATTAAGCTGACTGACTACGTGATCTGCCACGCTGTTCATTCTTTGTTTTAGCGTTCGTTTCTCCCACTGCAGCCTGAATTGGTGTGCGTCAATTTAAGCAGCCTTTTTTTCGTAAAAGAAAAGCAATTTGTTATTGTGGACCCTGCATATATATCTTTTGCTATGCAGTCCAACTCTTTCGTCACAGCATTACATTGCTGGAAAACTAAACCGCAATGCTCGTAATGCTACAGTCAGAAATGCCAAGTTGCCACGGTAGTTCCAAGTTTGCACGGTACGACAGTGTTGCGAATGCGACGTTATTATCTAAGCACAGGCCGCATGTAGCTGAACATGAACGTGAAAATGAAGGGTGATGCTAGTCGCCTGTGAATTATAGGGCGCCAGAGATCGGTCACCCTATTACCACGTTTTTTTTTCGTTTAGGTGAGTCTTGTCGTTTAAAAGCGCGACATTGTGAAAGAGTTTGTTTCGCAGCAATTATGACGTGAGGAAAAGCTGGTTTGGTCCTGAGCGAAAATTCGAGGTAGATGCTACGAAGATGGTGTTTACCGAAAGCTGAAGTGCAAAGTGTGGGTCTCCGCCGAGAAGTGAAGGCTTCGTGCTAGCGATTGGGGAGGCGATTGTGTGTGTGCTCTTCCGTGCGCGCGCTCGTGTGCGTGTGTGTGTGCGTGTGTGTGTGTGTGTGTTGTTCAGTGCGTGAGTGTGCGCCAATATGTGTGTGTATGTACAGAAAACGTTTTTAACGATTTAGAGGATAAGGTACTCTACTATGAGAGAGCATGAAGCCAACCCCTGGATATTGAAGAAGAGCATATGGACGCTTTGCCAAACCCGGCTATAGTGCAACTGTCTGGCGCACTTGTGTGTGTGGTCGAGTGCACGTGCATGTGTGCGTTCCTTTGTGTGTTAGTGCGTGCGGATATGTTTGCGTGCTCTTCCGTGCGTGTGTGTGCGAATGTGTGTGTATGTGCGCGCGCGCTCGTCAGTTTGTGTGCCGCGCTTGTGTGTGCTGGCGAGTGCTCGTGCGTGTGCGTGCGAAGGTGTCCTGCGAATGTGTGTGTATACACCCATTCCATGTTTGTAAACACAGGTAGGCCGATGTTGACATTATGGGTAAAATATAGCGACGTCCACACGTAACTTCCGCCATAAGCGTTGTGAAAGCCATAAGCGTTGAGGGCTGCGAGGTACGCCAACAAACAAAACTAAGTTGTGAGATGATACTCGCATCCTACCGCGACGCAGCTCGTCAGCATACCATTTTTTTCTCTTGTTGTTCGACTGAGAACACCACATGCACCATTGAAAACCCAGCAAAAACTGCGGTAGGCAGAGCATCTTTTGCCTACCCAGACAGCGCCACCACATTGTTGTGACGTAAGTCCGGTGGAATTTGTCTTTATGAGCGCACTCTTTTTCTCTCTCTCTCTCTCTCTCTGTGTGTGTTCATTTGCACGTGTTTTTGTGCCACTGCGTTTCTTCATGCGTGAAGAAAAACCGCTTTCTACGTGTACCTCAAACTCTAAGCATCGTTTATGTCTGTATGCAAAATAACGCTGATTCCGCTCAACCATCACTTTCCATAGAGTCATAAGACGCGTGCCAAACCTGACTGCTTCACATAGGAGCACATTTGCAGGAAGCTCCGCTCCCGTAGCTTTCCCTTCATTGCCGAAAAAGTCGTCTGCAAGTAAAAAAGGTAAGGTTGCGCATTGAAGGCCTCAGTACACCAAGGTATCTCCGCCAACATCCACGATGCAGCTCAGATATCCATCGGATCGTTTCTTTCCTATGGAAGGGGTCAACAAAATAAAATTTAGTGAATCAATCAGGTGAGTTAGCTCTGCTGTGTACTTTTCACTCATGTGCTGCACAGGAGAGCACCAAACTTTTGTTGCAGACTGGCTCACGGATGGTTCGCAGTAGCTGGGGCAGCTCCGCCGTGGTGGTCTACTGGCTGAAGTACTCGGCTGCTGACCCGCAGGCCACGGAATTGAATCCTGGCTACGACGGCTGCATTTTTTGATGGAGGCGAAAATGCTGTAGGCCAGTGTGCTCAGATTTGGGGGCACGTTAAAGAACCCCAGCTGGTCGAAATTTCCGGAGCCCTCCACTACGGCACCTCTCATAATCCTATGGTGGTTTTGGGACGTTTAACCCCATTATTTTTATTAGCAGATGGGGCACGATGAAAAAGAAAGAATTGAGCGCTAGCCAACATGAATTCTTCTATTTGTTTTATTTGAGGTGGTTGGGGGGCGAGGAAAGATAAGGGGCGCAGCTAACCAGCGGTCTGCGATTTCTATAAATCGACATTATCAAGCATGCCAAAACATCTCGAATAGACAGCGAAGGAAAGGAGGGGTAGTAGGCGCGCGCCGCCGTGCGGCAAACGGAGTGGTCACGACCCCCTTTTGCAATTAGCGCTTCTCCGTTCGATCGAAACGGCCGGAGCAACACCGCCGCGCACGCCTGATCCATTCAGCCGTGTCTTAACCACAAAGTTTCTAAAATTAATTATAGGGGGATATGGCGCTACGATAGTCCAGCCACTTTGGGAGTGATAGGTAGAATATAGATTTTGCCAAGTTTACGTGTTTGTGAGCTCCGAACGGAGTTGTGGCTTCGTTTATTTCCGTGTTTCGGTTAAGCTTTCCATTAAAAGATTAAACCGCTTTGAACTTCCTGGCCAGAGTAGAATTGGAGAGCCAAAAAGATTAAGGTGGTGAAGCTTTACTGACAAACTGTGGCCGATTGCTGTTTCGTAAAAAAACAGCTTGAAGTCATGCGAAGCCAAACGGAATGTAAAGTATGGATATTAGGCAAATTCATGTTCTACCCATGGTTCCCATGCTTGCTGAAGCGCCGCGAAGTGCGTTTCAGCTCCCATAGGCGCTAACGCCCGTTGCCTCTTGTTATTCATACAAAACTCTATGGTCCCAATGATGGGTTGCAACCAAAATGGATGACTGGGTGGCGCAGAGCCAGTGAATGGGCCTGCAGTTATAATGATGGTTTATTATCAGCCTCCATAGCAAACGTACTGTCTGCGTGCTATATAGGTGCTATATATAAGTGCGTGCTATATAGGTACTGTCTGCGTGCTATATAGGTGCTATATAGGTGATCATGTGGGTGTGGGAATAAGACTGGCACGGGAATAAAGTGAATCACCCGGAATAAAATCATTAATAATTGGCTGCGTACGCATATATGCATAACGTGCGATATTAAAGATGCTTTATATTAACTCCATTAAAATTACAACAGGCTGACCTGATGCGCTACTTTGGCTACAACTGTCGAAGTTCACAAGGTTACCACTGCTGTACGGCTTCATTCTGGAGGTGGACAGAATGCTTCCCAGCTCGAACAGTAACGCCACGCCAAGCCGGACGCCGATGTTGCTTGTCCACGGGCTTTTAACAAATGCCGCGTCCTGGACAGCGAACCTACCTTCTCAAAGCCCAGGTACCACATCTCGCACATTGATAAGAGTCATGCACACTACGGTTATGCGTGCAGAGAGTTCAATAAGATATACTATGAATATCCTATCTCTCTCAAAAAGAAAAAAATCATTCTCTGTACATTAGATACCAAAAATTTTGCTTGGCGATGCGCTCACGTTAGAGAGACATTGCGAAGAACAGATTAAAATAACACACTGAGACGCATTGCTAACAAAACGAGCGCCAATTTAAACTGGCCTTTTTTTTTATTCATGAGTAGTCGATATAAATGTATTCAGAAAAGCGCGGGCGAAAGAGATTAGTATACTTCACACTACCTATGTGACCTCCATCACAGAATTGATTTCAGCAAGATATAGTTTCATTGATGGCGCACTTGCGCATCTTTAAGCTTCCAAAGATGCCATGACAGCAGATTCGTACACTATTCTCTCAATGTCGGCTATTGTCCACTTCATGAGCGTTGTTTTTTACGCGTGCGCATTAGTTGAAGTCGGCTACCAAATTACCTGGGTGAGTAAGTTGTTGACAATTATAGCTGCGTTCCTCATGCCCATAATGTTCCCCGAACTATACTACGAAGACGCGAGTCTTCAATCAACAGTTTGTTTGACAATACAGTCACCTTTGTGAACTTATGTGAAAGGCATGTTACCCGTTGACAAATAGCGCTGTGTTCTCCGGGCATATTGTTAAATCAAAAGAAGCCGACGAAGACCACGAAAATCTATATATACTATTAAGATGCGACTATCCCCTTCACAGTTTAAGGCGGCTATATCGCCGGAGGTGTGTCAGCGTGAGACGGCTGCATGGCAGCGCGAAGCCACGGTCCCCGTGGCCGGTGCAGAGAGCCTATTTTCCGGTCCTCTTCTTCTCTGTCTCCACGTATCCTTCACATATAACTCTCCCCTTCCACAAAGAGAGAGACAGAGAAATATTGTGGTTGTAAAAAGGAAAAGAGAAAAGTGAGCCCCGTAACTGTCTACGTAAGCGTGCAACACCTCAACAGTAGCTCACCAGGAATGGGGGTGAGGAGGAATTAAAAGATAGGATTAAGTGTAATATATATATATATATATATATATATATACATATATATATATATATATATATATATATATATATATATTTATATATATATATATATATATATATTATATATATATATATATATATATATATATATATATATATATATATATGAGAGAGAGAGAGATGCGCAAGGACAGTGAGCGACGACATGAGAGATAAGAAAGTTGGAGACACGGTCACGGGAGTCCGAGGACGGGGCACCACTTGTGAGAGCTCTTGTCGGCGACAGGAGATGGCGTAGGGCTAATCCAGTCGGCCAGAGCTGCGCTGACGTCGTCGTAGTGGAGCCGGCGGCAGGAGGTGGCGTAGGACCAAGCCAGTCGGCCAGAGCTGCGCTGTCGTCGGAGATCGCGAGGGCACAACCGGTTGGCACGGAATTGGCGCATACAGTGGAGCATTATTCGTTGCCAGGTTCTGTTTGTGATTGTTCCAGGAACCGTTGTGATAGATGAGCGGGTTGAGGAACCTGGGACGCGACTGGCATTGCGAGCATGCCTGTTTCTCGGGTGTGGCCGCGGTGCATAGAACATCACCAAACGCGACCTCCTCAAGACATGGCAGTTCATTGAAAATGCGATAAATTCATTTTTCTCCCTCCAGTGTCAGCCTAAAATTAAAATTCAGAAGCAGGCAAAATGACAGCCAGCCCGTTAATTACCACTCTACTGCTTTTTTAATCTTTTTCTTCCAAACGCTTCAAGCACATGAAAGCGTGCACGGGACTTTCTGATAATGAAATTTTTGCAGTCATAGCCACGGTTGCCATTGGTGGCAATTTTGCGTCTAATCCGTTTAGGGACAGAAATTTTAACTCGGTGTAATAGCCACTTGAAGACTACTTTAAAATGATTTTGCGCATTCAACTAGCCACTCTTCAAATTATTTGCACAAAGAACAAACTATTTCTAAGCTGCTCTGTCGTATCAGCTGATCTGCGTACGCATCCTCCCTCAACAACAGTCTGGTAGACTTCTATGGTTTCCGATGACGGTGCGTCTGCGAGTGCGAAGTGGCGAAGTTGCATGCATCTAAGAAAACATGCAACTAGTACGTTTCTCATTTCGCTCACCATCTATGATGATAGTGGCCAGAATTTCTCGAAGGGTTGATAGTGGTTGCGTTACAATGGACGTGTGCGGGTGGCCGGTCCACAGAACACCACCAAACGCGACTTTCTCAAGACACCGCAGTTCGTTGAAATTGCGATTAGTTCATTTTTTCCTCCAGTTTCTGCCCCCCCCCCCCCCCAAAAAAAAAATGAAGGTTGGGGATTTACACACCATTATTTTCATTTGGTAGAAAATTGTAGCGGCGAGAACTCTTTCATTATCCCTTTCACGTGAAGCGACAAACCCGTTCGCAAGCAAAATGAAAAATTTTCGGGGGTAAGTTGAATTTGCACCTTGGCTACGCCCTTGCACGTAGCGTCAGCATTGCACGCAAGTTTCCAATCCTGCATGATGTGTAGCGCGCGTTCTCGCAAGAACTTCGCAAAACAATATTCGCAAAAAAAAAAAAAAACGAGCTAGGCGGTGACTGCATGAGAAATATGCTTCTGCGTTTAAGGTGCCTACTGGATTATTTGTTGAAATGCCCCATGATGACTCGGTATCTTTCGATAACTCTATTTTACAAAAAACTGTGGGCATGGTGCACGGAATTCGTTTTAAGTAATCATTTTATATGCAACTTCCTGGTCTGGCGATAAAGCCGGAGGGGGAAAAAGCAACTGTGTTCTTTATTTTGTTTGCTTTATTTAAGTTGGTGTTAGTGATTGGCCAATAATGGAATTCTGCTGAAACTATCACATATGTTCAAGTTAACTACACATTTCACAGTAAAGTAAATCACAAGGCAACCTTAGCTACTTTGATACATTTCAGTTTTTGATACATTTTATATACACCTTGCAGCAACCCTGGTCTCAGGAAAATTGTACTGGTCCTAAAATAACCTCGTGCTAGGACATATATGTCCTAGCACGAGGCTAACCAGGAAGGTTTGCATATTAGAGCTAAAATAAATCAGTCAATGAATCTGGGCTTAACAGTTTTGTAGATCAGTTGCGTAGACTTCCTGAAGGTGGTGGCGCCTGCATGAATTGAGGAAAGCTTTGAGGAAATACGAAAGATGCTTTTCATTGCTTCCGCCGTATTTGCAGGATTCCTTTTAGCAGATGCTGGATTCGATGTGTGGCTCGTGAATTCCAGAGGTGTGCCTCAGTCCAACTACCACGTGAATCTCACTACGAATGACCCTGAATTCTGGGCGTGGAGGTGAAGCTGGCTTTTCGCGTCTGTTGGCTTTCTTGTATTTTGTTTTGAGTTATCGTACCTGTGGAATTGTAATACCTGCAACTGGTCATCAGACAAAAAGTTAAATACAATACTTGGGCCTGGGTAAATAATCTTGGAGCTGACAAAAACTTTCATTTAAGACAAGATTACTCAGCGAACAATAGAAAGAAAATTGATACATGTAATGCTAAGAGTACCAAGACGCTAGAAGCTGTAAAATAATTGGTTTACTGAGGAATAGTAGTACCCGGCAGATTCGAACTTTGAGTCAGAAGTAACTATAAAAATACAGATACGGTGGAGCCTATTCGGTAGTCATACTCAAGTAATGATTGTTAGTTTGGCACTCTGGCTCGGGAGGAAGGTATATACAGCTGTATATTACCGGCAATTACCTACGGAGCAGAAGAACCAAGTTTTCGGCAGGTTGGTTGGTATTCACCTTGAAAGAAGCAACACACGAGGACGAAGAAGTAAGAGACAACAGGGGAGGCGCTATCGCACTGCTTCTTCATCTTGAAAACAGCGCAATAACCCGAGAACCAAGAAGGAAGCTAGACCAGAAACTTGGACCCCGCAGGGGCGCCTGTTAAAGCAGGCGTTTGGTGTGTAGCGACACCACGGACCCGAGCTAACGGGGGAGTTTCTACTCCCTCCCACGCCTAGCCGTGCGTGGCTTTGCCGTGTCCGGGGAAAAGGGGATCCTGGGGGTTGAGCCGACGCTGGGTGATTGGACCGTTAAGGCCCCCCGGCAGAGGCAACACACTCCTTTGGCCCCGGCTTCACGTAGACGGCACCCCTGGGCTGACCCACCCAGGGGAAATCGGCAGTCGCCTTTTCCTATCTCTCTCTCCCTACATCTTCGTCTTTATCTCTTACTGTTTATCTGTCCTGCCTTCTACTCTCTTCTGTTTACTTCCAAACTTCCTGGCGGCTAGGGTTAAACCTGTGCAAATAGCCTACCTTGGTCTAGGCGCATTGGGTTATAGTTGCGTTGTACGGCTGGCGTCTGCTGGTTTTAGCATCCACAAACTTGTAGCGTCCCCTTGTTGGGCTCCGTGGTGGGTGGCCGCCAACGCTTCTGAAGAAAATTAAACTGGCATGCATAAAGCATTTCCCCTATTAAGTGATCGTACCGCCTTAAAGCGTGTACGCACCGAAGACTTAGGCTTTTTCAACCGATCAAGTGAAAACTTCCCCCATTTTCATGTTATACATAGTGAAATAAGCAGCAAGCAAGCCAGAACCGTATCACCCTTTGTAGTAGCCAGATGTCTCACAGAAACTCTTGGAGCTGGGTACAAAGTTACCAAAATGGCCAGCGGAGACCTCCTCCTTGAAGTCCGAGGAAAAGAACAGTTCGAAAAGCTACAGAATCTTTCAACTTTTGGTGACACTCCCATCACTGTAACGCCACACAGATCCATGAACACAACCCGTGGAGTAGTATCTGATGCTGATTTGCTCAGCTTGACTGAAGAGGAACTTCTGGAGGGGTGGAAGAGTCAGAATGTGACCAATGTACAAAGGATCACCATTAGAAGAGACAACAAGACAACACCAACAAAACACCTATACTCACGTTCGCTTCCAGTAATCTCCCAGAAAGTATTCAAACAGGCTACACAAAGACGTCGATCAGACCATACATACCTAACCCACGTCGTTGTTTTAAATGCCAGAAGTATGGCCATGGCTCACAAAGCTGTCGTGGTCACCAAACTTGTGCACAATGTGGAGTGTCAGGCCACAATTCTGACAATTGCGAAGAACCATCACACTGTGTGAACTGTGGTGGAAATCATGCCGCATACTCACGGTCTTGCTCATTTTGGAAAGAAGAAAAGGAAATCATCACATTGAAAATTAAAGAAAATATCACATTCAAGGAAGCAAGACGAAGAGTGTCGCCATTTTATGGCGCTACATATGCTGATGCGGCGCGTCAGGGGGCAACGCCGCACCAGCCCTCGCCACTCCTTCGGCCAGCGCAGAGCGAGCCGACGGCTGTGGCACCTGCCCCCAAGGCGGCAGTAGTTCAGGCTACTCCGCCTCCTAACGAATTGAGGCCGGAGACTCCAGGGTCCTCTGGTCTCAAGGCCTCCCCTCACCAGGCGAGGCCTAAAATCCGAACCACGAGCTCGCATGTGCGGGCACCCAGTGCCTCTGAGGAGGCAATGGATACAACGGTACCCTTGGTACCAAAAGAGTGGGGCGCCTCCTTGGAGCGCGCCAAGAAAAATAAAAAACCAATAACGGGGCCGGACAACCGTCCTGCCACCTGAATTAATGAGCTCACTCCAACACAGGATACTCTTTGTACACACAGCAGCATCTCTCTTGTTTAAATATGCAGACAGAAATATTACAGTGGAACATCCGAGGCCTTCTTCGAAACCTCGATGACTTACAAGAACTCCTCCATGAACACAATCCAAGAGTGCTGTGTGTACAAGAGACACACTTAAAACGAACTAACACAAACTTTTACGTAACTACATAATCTTCCGAAAGGATAGAGATGATGCCATGCTACCATCCGGTGGTGTAGCGGTTATAGTAAGTCAAGGTATAGCATGCACACAATTACCCCTTCAAACTTCCCTTGAGGCGGTGGCTGTCCGAGCAGTTATTCTAAACAAACTTGTCACTGTCTGCTCTTTGTACATACCTCCGCACCACCGTCTCGAAAAACTTCAATTACAGTCTTTAATAGACGAACTACCTGAACCTTATCTGGTCCTTGGGGACCTGAACGCACATAATGGTCTGTGGGGTGACTCTCGCTGTGATGCACGAGGTCGTCTCATTGAACAATTCCTCATTTCATCGGGTGCGTGCCTGTTGAATAGGAAAGAAGCAACATACTATAACCTTGCCAACAAAACTTACTCTTCCATAGACCTCAGTATCGCATCTCCTTCACTTGTACCATTACTTCATTGGAAAGTCATAAATAATCCATACGGAAGTGAGTACACCAATAATAAATGAATGTCCTCCCCATGTTCCCAAATGGCTGGTAAACAAAGCCAACTGGGAACAATTTCAAAAGCTTACTCACCTGAATTGGACTGACATATGCGGGTTAGGCATAGATGAAGCTGTGCAGTACTTCACGGCTTTTCTTACTGACGCAGCAACCAAGTGCATTCCACAAACATCTGGACTGCCCGGCAAACGACACGTTCCGTGGTGGAACACTGAGTGTCAGAATGCACGAAAGGAACAGAACAGGGCTTGGAGGTTGCTGCGGAACTCGCCGACAGCGGAAAACCTTGAGAGCTTTAGGAAAATAAAATCTCGTGGCAGGAGAACGCGTCGGCAGGCCAGAAGAGAAAGCTGGCAGAAGTTTTTATCAGGGGTCAATTCATACACACAGGAGGCTAAAGTCTGGAACATGGTCGGTAGGATAGCAGGGAAACAAGTACACACACTTCCACTCGTAAACACTCAAGGGGATACCTTGGAAGATCAGGCAAACTTCCTCGGGGCACACTTTGAACGGGTATCCAGCTCGTCCCACTATACTGACACTTTCCAAAAATACAGAACAAGAATAGAAAAGCAGAAACTCGAACACAAATCCACTAGATACGAGGCATATAACCAAGCTTTCAAATTAGCTGAGCTACAAACATCTCTAAACTCTTGCAATAATTCCGCTCCAGGCTACGACCGTGTCACATATGAAATGTTGAAAAACCTGCCGCTCAAAACGCGAAAAACTTTACTCTCTTTATACAATGCTATCTGGCTTTCAGGCACCATCCCTGCTTCCTGGAAAGAGGCCATTGTTATCCCTATTTTGAAACAGGGCAAGGACCCTTCCTCAGTTTCAAGTTATAGGCCCATTGCACTAACCAGCTGCCTTTGTAAACTTTTTGAAAAAATGATAAACCACCGACTTTTACATTTCCTTGAAACACACAATCTGCTCGACCCATTTCAGTGTGGGTTTCGGGAGGGTAGATCCACCACCGACCATCTGGTGCGTATCGAGGCACAGATCCGAGACGCTTTCGTCCACAAACAATACTTCCTCTCAGTGTTTCTCGATATCGAGAAGGCCTACGACACAACATGGCGTTTTGGGATATTAAGAGACTTGTCTCACCTGGGTGTGCGCGGTAGGATGCTTTCCATAATCGAGAGTTACTTGTCCAATCGGAAATTCCGCGTCCGTGTGGGCAGTATTCTCTCGCAAACATTTGTGCAAGAAACGGGAGTACCGCAAGGTGGTGTACTTAGTTGTACACTTTTCATTATTAAAATGAATTCCTTGCACCTGTCCATCCCCCGCAACATGTTCTATTGTACATATGTCGATGACGTCCAGCTTGGCTTTAAGTCATGCAACCTAGCAATGTGTGAACGGCAGGTTCAGTTAGGTTTAAACAAGGTCTCCAAATGGGCAGAGGAAAACGGATTCCGGCGGAACCCAGGAAAAAGCACGTGTGTCTTGTTCTCCCGAAAGAGAGGCATGCACTCAGAACCCGACATTGAACTGAACGGCCAACGTCTGTCTGTGAATGCGGAGCATAAATTCCTAGGCTTAATCTTGGACAACAAGTTGACCTTCGTACCACACATAAAGTATTTAAAAACAAAATGTTTAAAAGCCATGAATGTTATAAAAGTGTTGTCACGTACTACGTGGGTTAGTGATAGGCAATGCCTCATGAACCTCTATAGAAGCCTTATTCGTACCCGCTTAGATTATGGGGCCGTTGTCTATCAGTCTGCCACTCAAAGTGCCTTGAAAATGCTGGACCCCGTGCACCATTTGGGCATCCGCCTTTCTACGGGTGCTTTTCGCACCAGCCCCGTAGAAAGCCTTTACGTTGAGTCAAATGAGTGGTCGCTTCATCTGCAAAGAACTTACATGTCCTTTGTATATTTCCTTAAGGTGAAAGCAGACAAGAGGCACCCCTCATACTCTACTATTAATGATTTCTCGAGCTCCATTCTGTTTCAAA